GAGCTGGGATTTGGGGGCGAGCTGCCTCCCTCATCCCCCCGGCGTTGCAGATGAACACGGCCATGGACGGCTGCCTGCGGCGGTGGAGCTGGCTGAACCAGACGACCACCTGGCGGGAGGGCGCCGCCCTGCGGGCCAAGGCCAAGCCCTGCTTCAGCGCCCTGCGGCCTGGCAGCTTCTTCCCCGGGGCGGGGCTGGCCAGCTTCCGCCCGGCAGGTACCCCAGGGACCCCGGCGTTCGGGCGGCCTGGGCCCGCCTTCCTCCCCAACACCGCCTCTGTCCCCCACGGGGATCCCCCACCCCGGCTCCCTGGATGGCCCCCCTCCCCCTACGGTGACACCCCCATCACATCCCCCTCTCCTCTGAAGTGACCCCCCAGCCCCTACGGTGACAGCCCCAGGCCCCCCTCTCCAGGCCTCCCAGCCCCCCCTGCAGTAATCCCTCCTCCCCCAGGCCTCCCCAACAGTGACCCCCCAACTCCCTTCCCACTGGCAGCATCTGCTGGGGGAGTCCCGCCCCCTGCCCCCAGTTAACCTGCCCCCTGTGTTTGCCCCCCCCCAGACCTGGCCGGTGGCACTGCACCCCCCAACGGGAGCTGGGGGCTGGAGGTGGAGCTGGGGATCCGGGCCCCCCGGCAGACGGGGCTGGTGCTGGCTGTGGGGGTCCCAGACGGGAGCCTGGCACTGAGCCTGGTCCTGCAGCCCACGGTGAGTCCCGGGGGGGGGGGGAGATGGCGTGGGGGGAATCCGCTCACTGGGGGAGAATGGTGCCGGGGATCCACTCACCATGGGGGGCCTGGGGCTGGGTATCTGCTCCCTGGGGGGGGGTGTACGGTGCCAGGGATGTGCTCATGATGGGGGGCCCTGTTCTGGGGATCTGCTCACTGGCGGGGGGCACAATACCAGGGATCCACTCACTGGAGGGCCAATGTGCCGGGGATCTGATCACCGGGCGGGGGGGGCCGTGCTGGGGATCCGCCCATGGGGGGGGGTGGTGCCAGGGATCTGCTCACTGGGGCCACAGTGCTGGGGGGATCTGCTCAGCTGGGGGGCGGTGATGGGGATCCACTCGCTCTGTGTGTGTGTGTGCGGTGCCGGGGACCCACTCACTGGTGAGGGGGGCACAGTACCAGGGATCTGCTCACCGGGGGGAAATGGTGCCGGGGATCCGCTCACGGGGGGCACCATCGGGGGGGTCGCTGCTCGCGTGCGGTGTGGGGGCAGATTTGGGGAGGGCCATCTCCGTCTCCCCGCTGACCCTCCCGCTCACTCTCCTGTAGGCCATGGTGGTGCGCCTCGGCAACTGGACCAAGCTGCGGCTGCCCCTGCCGGAGGGGCCCTGCCTGGACGCCCCCCTGCGCCTGCGGGTCTCCCCCACCCAGCTGGCCCTGCAGCTGGGCAACCATGGAGGCACCCTGCCCAACCAGCCCCCCGACTTCCAGTGGCTGCAGGGGACCTGGCTGGGCCAGGAGGGGCGGCTCTTCATTGGGGGGCTGCCAGGTACATTCACCCCCTCTGGGCACACGGTAGCAACCTGCCCCGTCCCTGGGTACCACTTGACGGCTTCCCCCGCAGCTGGGACGGCCTTGACTGTGCCCCCTCCCACCTTAGCCGGGCCGGCCTTAACGTGAGACCCTCCCCTTCAGGGGTAGTTGTGTGGGTGGTGGGTGGGAGCAGGGGGAGGGGTCCCCTCTTTCCCCACCCTCTGACCCCCTGCTCCCCTCTGTATCTCCCTTGCAGACGGGGACAAGACCCCCAGGCCCCAGGAGTGGGGGGCTTTCCGGGGCTGCCTGCGGGGGATCCGGGTGCAAGGCCACCAACTGGACCTGGACTCAGCCCTGTTCAGGAGTGACACCATCTGGGCCCACAGCTGCCCCGGGGCCCACGAGGGGGCAGAAGCGGGGAGGAGAGCCAGGGGCCACGGTGCTGATTAAAGGATCTGCCGGGCAACACCGCCTCCCTCGTTACCCGGGCAATGGACACCACCGGGAGTGGGAGGGGGTATGTGGCTCGGGGGGGTAGGAGCAGTGGTGACCTGTGATGATTTGGGGCTGTCACTGGGAGCGGCAGTAACCGGGGGGGGGGCCCTATGGCTGGTGTGGGGCTGTGACTGGTGGTGCGGCTGTGATGTGTCTGGGAGCGGTTGTCTGTGACAGTGTCGGGCTGTGCCTCGGCACCGCGGTGACAGTGTCCGACTGTGCCGGGGGTGGGGACGACTGTGCCGGGGAGTGGCTGTGGGGCTGTGGCGGGGCAGCGCTGGGCCTGGGAGTGGTTGTGACGGTGTGGGGCTGCGTAACTCGGAGTCCTGGGAGGTCTGGGAGCCGTTGGGCTGGTCGCTGCGTAGCCGTGTCCGTGCGGCTGTGAGCGACGGGGTGACTGTGAGCAGCTGCGACGGGGTGTGGTGGACTAGTTGTGACAGTGGCGGGAAGGTGGTTGTGAATGGCTTGGGTGTGTTTGTAGCACCGTGCCTGGTTTGGCAGCGGTGAGGGCGAGTGTTTGGGCGATTGTGCTCATGCAGGATTGTTGTGCGTCGAGGGTGATGGGGCTGCGTGTGTGCAAGACCGTGTGACTGTCGCCCATGTGGGTGCTTGTTTCTGGGTGTCTGTGTCTTGCACTGGGAGTGTGCAACAGTGACTGTATGACCGTGTGTGGGGGTGTGTCAAGCTCATCCCGAGTGGTTGGGTGATGGTGATTGTGAGCACGAGTCTGACTGTGTGCGTGTGTCCGAGGGTCTAATTTTTGTCATGCTCCTCGTGTTTTGTCAAGGTGACTGTGATTGCGGGTGACGGTCTGATTGTCTGTGTGTGTGCGAGTATTCGCTTCTCCCTGTACAGCCTGTGAAGACTCACCTCTATGCACACACCTGAGACTGTGTAATGGTGAATGATTGTAGTTTGCACATGTGTAATCCAAAGACTCAGCGACTGTGTGATGACTATATGTCATAGAGTTGATTGATTTTCAGGCCAGAAAGGAGCTTTAGATCTCAAGTCTGAGCCTCCTGTCTAGCACGGACTGGGGTATTTCATCCAGACCGCCTGTACTGAGCCCAGCAACTCCGGACTGCATCAAGTTGTCTACCTTCCTTTCTTTGCTGGTTGAAGTAGTTTGTGTGTGTAGCTAAGAGATTGTAAAGCTGAAAATAAGTGTGACTGACTGGTAGGCGGGTGTGTAATTGTGGACAATTGCAGTTTCTTAATTACACACATCCAGAGCCACACAGTCTCGTAATCACACACCCACCAACAGTCATGCACAGATACAGATACAGCCATACAATCTCATAGTCTGTCTCTCTCACACTCACACATACACTCACACACACACACACTGGTCATTGTTGTACAGTCTTAGTCACACAGTTGCTCTGTCGTGGGTTCTTAACTACAGCCCTTCACGATGACAGTCACAACAGTACAGTCGCCTAGTCTCTTTCATACAGCGTCCCATAATCTCTTTAATCACACACCCTAAACTACAGTCGCTCGCAGTTACATCCATTACGTTTTCGTCACCCATACAGCGACAGTCATTCATAGACACATGCGCTCAGCCATAGTCTCTTAATCGCACACACAACTATAGGGACTCCAGCGTAATCTGTGACCTGTGCAGCCACGACACAGTGTAGGTGTGAACGGCTGTAGTTGTGTGTGGGTGCATCACTAAGAGATTATGGCGGCGTGACGCGGGGCTGTAGCTGTGTATGAGATGAAGCGCCTGCGCGGTTGAGACTGTGCATCTCTGAACGACTGTAGCTGTACGCGTGATTGAGGCCTGATGGCTGTAGCTGTGAATGGCTGTAGTTTGGCAGGGTGATAAAGAGACTGTGACTGTTGGAGACGGTACCATGAGAGAGGCACGAGGTGACTGTGCGGGTTGTGACTGTAATTGTGACTGTAATTATGTGTAGGGAGGTGTAGTTAAGGACTTATGACAAAACTGGGGTGTGTTTGTATGTAGCTTATGACAAAACGACTGTAGATTTGTGTGCGACTGTGACTGTACACCTACAACTGGTGTGTGTGAGTGTGTGTAGCTTATGACAAAATGACTGTAGAGTTGTGTGCGACTGTGACTGGACACCTACAACTGGTGTGTGTGAGTGTGTGTAGCTTATGACAAAATGACTGTAGAGTTGTGTGCGACTGTGACTGGACACCTACAACTGGTGTGTGTGTAGCTTATGACAAAATGACTGTAGAGTTGTGTGCGACTGTGACTGTACACCTACAACTGGTGTGTGTGTAGCTTATGACAAAATGACTGTAGAGTTGTGTGCGACTGTGACTGTACACCTACAACTGGTGTGTGTGAGTGTGTGTAGCTTATGACAAAATGACTGTAGAGTTGTGTGTGACTGTGACTGTACACCTACAACTGGTGTGTGTGTAGCTTATGACAAAATGACTGTAGAGTTGTGTGCGACTGTGACTGGACACCTACAACTGGTGTGTGTGAGTGTGTGTAGCTTATGACAAAATGACTGTAGAGTTGTGTGCGACTGTGACTGTACACCTACAACTGGTGTGTGTGTAGCTTATGACAAAATGACTGTAGAGTTGTGTGCGACTGTGACTGGACACCTACAACTGGTGTGTGTGTAGCTTATGACAAAATGACTGTAGAGTTGTGTGCGACTGTGACTGTACACCTACAACTGGTGGTGTGTGTGTGTGAGAGAAAGAGAGAGCAAGACTGACCGATTGTGTGGCTGCAGTTGTATCTCTGAATGACTGTAGCTGGGTATGTGACTAAAAGATTGTCTGTCCGGCTGTGAATGTGCGTCTGTGAGCGACTGTAGGGGGTGTGCCTGTGTCTTAGGAGACTGTACCACTGTGACGGCCATTTGTGTGAGACTGAAACCCTGCTGGGTGTGTTCCCTGTGTCTACGCTCAGCCACAACACACAACGCTGGTGCCCCCCAACCCCCAGGGATGCTTGGGGCTGGCAAACAGACACAGGCCGTGCCAGCTACGCGGTGACCATAACCCAATTTATTATTATATACAAAATTGGCTACGAAGCGGCTCACGACAAGGGGGTCCGGAGCTCCCGAATGGCGGATCACCCCGGAGCTGGGTCACGGGCCGGACCCCGGTGCCCGGCTCTAGGTAATGACGGAAGGGACTTCGAATCTACACCACCCCCACCCCTCCGGTCCAGAGACAGGACGTGCTGGCCTAGAGGTGACAGGCCAGGACGCCTGGGTTCCAATCCCCTCCCTGATGGACCATAGCCCCCCCCCCCCGCCACGGGGGTCTCCTTGCTGCCTCTCCCACCTGTGTATGAAACTGGGAAGGATCCTGACGGTGGGGGATGGGAAGGGGAGTTACTCAATGGGGGTAAAGTGCTATTGAAATGTTACGCTGGTTATTAGCAACGATGATCATTTTGCCCCGAAGTCCCACGCTCAAACTCCCCACCCCAGGAATGGAACCCAGGAGTCCGGATTCCCACCTGCCGCTGCTCTAAACACCAGAGCCAGGGATAGGACCCAGGAGTCCTGGCTCCCAGCTCCCCGCAACCCCCGTGCTCTAATCCCCCAGACCCCACTCCCTCACCCAGCTCTGTTAGGGGAAGGGGGGTTGGGAGCCAGGACTCCTGGGTTCTCTCTCTGGATCTGGGAGGGGAGTGGAGGCTAGCGATTAGAGCGGGGGAGGGGGGAGAGCTGGGAGCCAGGACTCCTGGGTTCTCTCCCTGGATCTGGGAGGGGAGTGGAGGCTAGTGATTGGAGCTGGGTGGGGAGGGGAGAGAGCTGGGAGCCAGGACTCCCGGGTTCTTGCCCTAGATCTGGGAGGGGAGTGGAGACTAGTGATTAGAGCAGGCGATGTGGGAGCTGGGAGCCAGGACTCCTGGGTTCTCTCCTCATCTCACGCCGCTGTGAGACCGTGCCTGTAGGGGTCACCAAGTCCCCAGAAGGCGGGGAGCGGGGGGGGCAAGCCGAGTCTCTGGGGGAGGGGGGAGTTGACACAAGGAGGGGGGAGGCGTGTTCCCACCCCGGCCCCCCTTCACAGCAGGAGGCACGTCCCCGATTTGCTGCTGACGCTGTCGGCGGGCACGCTGGGGTCCAGGTCCCTGGGGACGGTGCCCTTGGCCCCCCACACGTTCAGCTCCCCGAAGACGCCGGTCTCCACCATCTCCTCCTGCCAGGGGATGGGGATGTTGCCGGAGGAGAAGTCCTCGTAGAAGGCCCGGTCCTGCTCGTCCAGCGCCACCCCCCTCACCGTGGAGAAGGCGCCCACCTCGCCGATGTCCTTGGCGTAGACCGTCCGGGGGTCGGGCACGAAGGGCGGCTCCGCCAGACCTGGGGGGGGGGGGGGGCACATGGGCACCGGGTGGGGAGGGGGCGACAGCAGCCGGCCCCGGGGACACCCCCGCGGCCCCGCGGCAACCCCCCCCGCGACCCCCGCAACCACCACCCCACGGCAACCCCCCGCCCGCACAACCCCCCCCCGCGACCCCCGCAACCACCACCCCACGGCAACCCCCGCCCACACAACCCCCCCAACCACCACCCCACTGCAACCCCCGCCCGCACAACCCCCCCAACCACCACCCCACGGCAACCCCCCGCCCGCACAACCCCCCCCCGCGACCCCCGCAACCACCACCCCACGGCAACCCCCCGCCCGCACAACCCCCCCCCCGCGACCCCCGCAACCACCACCCCACGGCAACCCCCCCGCCCGCACAACCCCCCCCCCCGCGACCCCCCCAACCACCACCCCACGGCAACCCCCGCCCGCACAACCCCCCCCTGCGACCCCCCCAACCACCACCCCACGGCAACCCCCCGCCCGCAAACCCCCCCGCGACCCCCGCAACCACCACCCCACGGCAACCCCCCGCCCGCACAACCCCCCGCCCGCGACCCCCGCAACCACCACCCCACGGCAACCCCCCCGCCCGCACAACCCCCCCCCCCGCGACCCCCCCCAACCACCACCCCACGGCAACCCCCGCCCGCACAACCCCCCCCCCCGCAACCCCCACCCACATAACCGCACGGCAACCCCACCCGCACAACCCCCCCCCGCAACCCTGCAACCCCTGCTCACACAACTCCACGGCAACCCCAGCAACCACCACCCCATGGCAACCCCCCGCCCAGCTCCCCCCCGCAACCACCACCCCACTGCAGCCGCGACCCGCCAGCCCCCCCCCCCCCCGCAACTCCTGACCTGCACCACCCCCAATCCCCGCCACAAGGCCCGCAGCTCCGGCGCGCCCAGCCGCTCGCACACACAACACACAACCACAACCCTGACAACCGCACACAGGCCCCCCCCCCCACAACCCACTATACACACGCAACCATAATCCCGGGGTGTGGGGTGGGCTTGGGGGGGGGCTCTGTGGATCCCTCGTCTTGGGGGTGGGGGACCCCCTCAGCGCTGGGGATGGGTTGGGGGGACTCCCCGTCCCAGTGTTCGGTGGGGGGCTCGGGGGACGGGTAAGGGGGGGACCTCTCGGCCCTGGAGGATGGGGCAGCTCAAGGGGGACCCCTCGTCTCGGCGACGGAGGAGCTGGGGGGGACCCCTCATCCTGGGGGTCGGTGGGACCCCCTCAGCCTGGGGGGCTCACCCTGGGGCGAGGGGGGGGGGCGTGTTACCTGCCTCCAGCCGGCCCCAGTTGACCTTCTGGAAGAGGGGCTGGGCCTTGAGCTGGTCGCACTGGTGGTCCCGGAAGCCCAGACGGCCGGCGGGGTCCTTGGCCATGAGCCCCTCGCAGGCGGCCCGGCAGGCGGGGCTGAACTTCTCCGAGTACTTCACCGGGTCGTGCAGGACGCGCCGGGTCACCTCCTTGTTCTCCACCTGCGCGGGGGGGCGGTGGGTGGGTGGGTGGGGGGGAACCCCCTTCCCGAGCACCCCGCGCTACGCCGGCCTGGCTGGTGTCACCCCTCTTGTATGGGGGGAGGCCTGAGGATCCCAGCCCCCCTTCCGACCCCCCTCTCCTCCCCCCCAGCCCCCCGATCAGAGCCCCCCTCTCCTCCCAGCCTCCTCCCCTCCTGACCCCCAGCCCCCAGACCAGAGCCCCCTCCCCCTTCCGACCCCCCTCTCTTCCCCCCTCCAGCCCCCCGATCAGAGCCCCCCTCTCCTCCCAGCCTCCTCCTCTCCGACCCCCCAGCCCCCAGACCAGAGCCCCCTCCCCCTTCCGACCCCCCTCACCTCCCCCCCAGCCCCCGATCAGAGCCCCCCTCTCCTCCCAGCCTCCTCCTCTCTGACCCCCCCAGCCCCCAGACCAGAGCCCCCTCCCCCTTCCGACCCCCCCTCACCTCCCCCCCAGCCCCCGATCAGAGCCCCCCTCTCCTCCCAACCTCCTCCTCTCCGACCCCCCAGCCCCCAGACCAGAGCCCCCTCCCCCTTCCAACCCCCCTCTCTTCCCCCTCCAGCCCCCCGATCAGAGCCCCTTCACTCCCAGCCCCCTCCCCCTTACGACCCCCCTCTCCTCCCCCTCCAACTCCCCCAAACAGAGCCCCCCTCCACTCCCAGCCCCCTCCCCTTCCAACCACCTCCTCCCCCTCCAACTCCCCCAAACAGAGCCCCCCTCTCCTCCCAGCCTCCTCCCTCCTGACCCCCAGACCAGAGCCCCCTCCCCCTTCCGACCCCCCTCTCTTCCCCCCAGCCCCCCGATCAGAGCCCCCCTCTCCTCCCTGCCTCCTCCCCTCCTGACCCCCAGCCCCCAGACCAGAGCCCCCTCCCCCTTCCGACCCCCCTCTCTTCCCCCCTCCAGCCCCCCGATCAGAGCTCCCCTCTACTCCCAGCCCCCTCCTCTTTCCAACCCCCTCTCCTGCCCCCCAGACCAGAGCCCCCTCCCCCTTCCGACCCCCCTCTTCCCCCCTCCAGCCCCCCGATCAGAGCCCCCTCTCCTCCCAGCCTCCTCCTCTCCGACCCCCCCAGCCCCCAGACCAGAGCCCCCTCCCCCTTCCGACCCCCCTCTCCTCCCCCCAGCCCCCGATCAGAGCCCCCCTCTCCTCCCAACCTCCTCCTCTCCGACCCCCCTCTCCGACCCCCCAGCCCCCAGACCAGAGCCCCCTCCCCCTTCCGACCCCCTCTCCAGCCCCCAGATCAGAGCTCCCCTCTCCTCCCAACCACCTCCCCTCCTGACCCCCCTCTCCGACCCCCTCAGCCCCCAGACCAGAGCCCCCTCCCCCTTCCAACCCCCCTCTCTTCCCCCCTCCAGCCCCCCGATCAGAGCCCCCCTCTCCTCCCAGCCTCCTCCTCTCCTGACCCCCTCTCCGACCCCCCCAGCCCTCAGACCAGAGCCCCCTCCCCCTTCCGACCCCCCTCTCCTCCCCCTTCAGCCCCCCATCAGAGCCCCCCTACTCCCAGCCCCCTCCCCCTTCCAATCCCCCTCTCTCCCCCATCCAGCCCCCCTGATCAGAGCCCCCTACTCCCAGCCCCCTCCTCCTCCAACCCCCCTCTCCTGCCCCCTCCACCACCCCCAATCAGAGCCCCCCACTCCTCCCGGCACCCCTCCCTCTTCCAGCCCCCCTATCTGAGCCCCCCAATGCAGCCTCCCTTTTCTCCTGGCCCCACTCCCCTTCTAGCCCCCAATCCTCCCTTCCCCACCCCCATGGGTTGGGGGACCCCTTGGTGCTGGGTTGGGGGGGGCTGAGAGGGATGGGTCAGGGATACCCCGTGGGCCTTGTCCAGAGGGATGATTTGGGGGCCCCCGGTGACATACGCTGGGACCGGATAGATCACTGTTGCAACCAAGGTCCCGTAGCGGGACCAAATCGTGTATAACGGGGGCCATGGGAGGCGTCTCAGACGAGGCCAGGGCTGGCTGGCTGGGAGCAAGCTCTCCGGACGTGGGTGTCATTTTTGTCGGAGTCGTGAGCCCCGGCTCTGGGCTGTCCGCGCTTCCGACCTGTGCTCCGCTTCTGGGGGACGCCCCCGACAAGCTGGGGCCGGCCCTGCCCAGCCGGCCGGATGGCCCACGAAGGGCCGTGAGCGACACGACTGACCCACTGAGAGAGGGCAGACACGCCTGGCGACCCGGCAAGGCGCGCAGGGACCTGCCTGCGGACCGAACGCTGAGGGTTTTCCAGGCCGCGGGCTGGACAGCTTGTCCTTGGGACGAAGAAAGAAAGACCACACGGCAAGAGCGTATAAAAAACGGCTGCAGCTCCTCCATCCTGTCTTCAATCCTCCTGCCTCTGGAGAGAGTTGGCTAGAAACCGGAGCTCTGAACCGAGGCCTGAAAGCCCCATCCCAGCTGGGGATGGTCTCCAGAGCCGGGATTTGAACCTGCAGCTTCTTCCCTCCCTGCTGCAAGCCGGAACCAAGAACTTGGCCATTGCTCTATGGAACTGATTCCACGTAACCAGCTCTAGCTCTCATCTCTCTCTTTTCCTTTTGCGAATAAACCTTTGGAAGAGAGGTAGATACGCCGGAGGGGAGGGATAGGATACAGAGGGCCCTAGACAAATTGGAGGATTGGGCCAAAAGAAATCGGATGAGGTTCAACAAGGACAAGTGCAGAGTCCTGCTCTTAGGACGGAAGAATCCCAGGCACCGCTACAGACTAGGGGCCGAATGGCTCGGCAGCAGTTCTGCGGAAAAGGACCTAGGGGTGACAGTGGACGAGAAGCTGGATATGAGTCAGCAGGGTGCCCTTGTTGCCAAGAAGGCCAACGGCATTTTGGGATGTATACGTAGGGGCATAGCGAGCAGATCGAGGGACGTGATCGTTCCCCTCTATTCGACATTAGTGAGGCCTCATCTGGAGTACTGTGTCCAGTTTTGGGCCCCACACTACAAGAAGGATGTGGATAAATTGGAAAATGTCCATCGGAGGGTAACAAAAACTATTAGGGGCTGGAACACATGAGTTATGAGGAGAGGCTGAGGGAACTGGGATTGTTTAGTCTGCGGAAGAGAAGAATGAGGGGGGATTTGATAGCTGCTTTCAACTAACTGAAGGGGGGTCCCAAAGAGGAGGGAGCTCAGCTGGTCTCAGCGGTGGCAGATGACAGAACAAGGAGCAATGGTCTCACGTTGCAGTGGGGGAGGTCTAGGTTGGATATTAGGAAACACTATTTCACTAGAAGGGGGGTGAAGCACTGGATTGGGTTCCCCAGGGAGGTGGTGGAATCTCCTTCTGTGACGAAGCGGGACTGTTCTTAATGTTTCCTCTGAATAGTGGGGGGGGTGCCTCAGTTTCCCCTAGGCAGTTCTTAAGTATCTAGGGGGTGGGATAAGGGTGTATGATCATTGCAGAGCCCTAGATGGCAGGTGTGGGCAGGGGTCTGGACACAGAGAATGGCCGACACCCTGTTTCCTGGCCACTGATGGCCTGGGCCTTCCCCCCTGCAAGGTGAGAGCTGAAGGGTTGGAGAACAAAGGAATCAGGTGACCTCCTGGCCCGGGAAAGGAACAAAGCCCAGAGGAGGAGGGGCTGGGGGAGTTTCAGTTTGAGGCTGGCGGAGACATGGAGTGAAGTGCAGATGGGATTGTCTGGCTCACTGCCCCCCAAAATGGACCCAGCTGAGGGGTCCTGTTCTCTGCACCTGCAAGCTCTGTGTTAGACCATGTTCCTGTCGTCTAACAAACCTTCTGTTTTACTGTCTGGCTGAGAGTCCCGTCTGACTGCGGAGTTGGGGGGCAGGACCCTCTGGCTTCCCCAGGACCCCGCCTGGGTGGACTCGCTGTGGGAAGCGCACGGAGGGGCAGGGGGGCTGGAGGCTCCGGGGTCAGACCCAGGAAGGTGTCCCGGGGGAGCTGTGTGTCCTGCAGACAGGCTGCTCCCAGAGAGGAGACTCCCCCAGAGTCCTGCCCGGCTTCGTCGGGAGCAGGTCCAGAGCATCGCCCAGGGACTCCGTGACACCTTCCTTAGAGGTTTTCAAGGCCTGGCTTGACCCCTGGCTGGGACGATTTAGTTGGGGTTGGTCCTGCTTTCAGCAGGGGGTTGGACTAGACGCCTCCTGAGGTCCCCTCCGACCCGGATCTTCTCGGAGTCGAAGCATCAGAGGGGGCAGCCGCGGGCGGCGTTTCGATGGGGACCCAACGCCGCGGCCGCCGGGATCTGTGGACGCGGCAAAGGGCCCTGTGCCGGCGAACAGACTCACCGGCCTCCTGGCGCATGAGCCTCCGCGGGCGAACACCCACTTCGTCAGATGCACGAAGTGGACATTCCCAGGGGCAGGTCTCAGCAGGCGAGCGGGACTCGGGCGAGGGCTAACGAGCTGCGTTCGACCAGGGAGGCGGTCGAGGTGTGAACACCGAGGGAGGAGAAACGGCTTTCGGAGCTGGCCAGCCGGCCCACAGTCTTCGTTTAATCCTGAGCTGACGGGGTCCGATTTGCAAACGGACTGAGGCCGAGCAGTGGCCCTTCGAAGTCCGGTCCCGCCGCTGTGTTTTGCCGCAGGGTGGCTACCTTTCCCTCCGCTCTTGTGTGTCCGCGGGGGGGAGGCTAGTTTTTTAGCGTCGAAAGGCTTGGCCACAGCCTGATTTGGGGGTAAGATCTGATCTGTCTCTTGACCTGGGTCCGGGGCTTGGTCCTTTGGGATCGAGGGAACCTTTTGTTCTTTTACCGGGGTCTTGCTTTTCAGAACCAGTCGTCCCCATACCCAGTGGCCCTGGTGGGGATGCGGGGAAACCGGGGGGGCCGAAGGGAATTGCTCGTGTGCCTTGTGGTTAGCCTGGGGGGGTAAAACCAAAGTCCTCCCTGTTCGGCGGGTTTGCTTTGCCTTGGGGTGCCCAGAGACCCCGGCCTGGGGCTGTAACTGCCCTGTTTGAAGCAATTTGTCCTGGGTTGGCACTCGCAGTTGGGTCCAGCCAGCACCAGCCTCGTTACCCCCCCCCCCTTGGCCATGGCTCAGGGAGGGGCCTGGGGTCCCCATGGCGGGAGCAGGGGGGGTGTCCCCATTTACCTTCTCCCCCCGGCAGCGAAAGGGGCCCTTGGCTTCGATCATCTCGTAGAGCGTCACCCCCAGGGTGAAGTAATCCACGCTCCAGTCGTATTCCTCGTTCCTCAGCAGCTCCGGAGCCATGAACCCTGGGGGGGACAGAGCAGGGGGTGAGGGGCCCCGGCATGGAGGGGTGGGGGATGGGAAAGGAGGAGAGGGGGCTGGGTTGGGGGGATGGGGGCCCGGAGGCGAGGGGGGGAACTGGGATGGGGGACCCCAGTGAGGGGGCTGGAGATGGGGGGCAGGGCTGGAGGGGTGGGGGATGGGAAGGGAGGAGAGGGGGCATGGTTGGGGGGCTGGGAGGCGAGGGGGGATCAGGGAAGGGGGACCCCAGCGAGGGGGCTGGAGTGGGCCTGGAGGGCAAAACAGGGCTGAAGGGGTGGGGGATGGGAGGAGAGGGGTGGGTTGGGGGGCGGGGGCGGGAGGGAGGGGGGTTCTGGGATGGGGGACCCCAGGAGGGGGGGGGGTGGGACAGGACGGAGGGATGGGGGAGGGAAGGGAGGAGGGGGGCGGGTTGGGGGACGAGGGCTGGGAGGCAAAGTGGATCTGGGATGGGGGACCCCAGGAGGGGTCGGGGGGGTCTGGAGGGGGGAGGGCGGAGGGGTGGGGGTGGGAAGAAGGAGGGGGACGGGTTGGGGGGCGGGGGCTGGAAGGCAAGGGGGGACTGGGAGGGGGCCGCGAGGGGTCGGGGGGGGGTCTGGAATGGCGGGAGGGGTGGGGGGGTGGGGGGGGGGGGGGGGGGGGGGGGGGGGGGGGGGGGGGGGGGGGGGGGGGGGGGGGGGGGGGGGGGGGGGGGGGGGGGGGGGGGGGGGGGGGGGGGGGGGGGGGGGGGGGGGGGGGGGGGGGGGGGGGGGGGGGGGGGGGGGGGGGGGGGGGGGGGGGGGGGGGGGGGGGGGGGGGGGGGGGGGGGGGGGGGGGGGGGGGGGGGGGGATGGGGGGGGGGGGGGGGGGGGGGGGGGGGGGGGGGGGGGGGGGGGGGGGGGGGGGGGGGGGGGGGGGGGGGGGGGGGGGGGGGGGGGGGGGGGGGGTGGGGGGGGGGGGGGGGGGGGGGGGGGGGGGGGGGGGGGGGGGGAGGGGGGGGGGGGGGGGGGGGGGGGGGGGGGGGGGGGGGGGGGGGGGGGGGGGGGGGGGGGGGGGGGGGGGGGGGGGGGGGGGGGGGGGGGGGGGGGGGAGGGGGGGGGGGGAGGGGGTGAGGGGGCGGGGGGGGGGGGGAGGAAGGGGAGGGGGGGGGGGGGGGGGGGGGGGGGGGGGGGGGGGGGGGGGGGGGGGGGGGGGGGGGGGGGGGGGGGGGGGGAAGTGGGGGGGGGGGGGGGGGAGGGGGGGGGGGGGGGGGGGGGGGGGGGGGGGGGGGGGGAGGGGGGGGGGGGGGGGGGGGGGAGGGGGGGGGGGGGGGGGGGGGGGGGGGGGGGGGGGGGGGGGGGGGGGGGGGGGGGGGGGGGGGGGGGGGGGGGGGGGGGGGGGGGGGGGGGGGGGGGGGGGGGGGATGGGGGGGAGGGGGGGAGGGGGGGGGGGGAGGGGTGGGGGATGGGAGGAGAGGGGGCTGGGTTGGGGGGCTGGGGGGCTGGGAGGTGAGGGGGGTTCTGGGATGGGGGACCCCAGTGAGGGGGCTGGGGGGTGGGACAGGACTGGAGGGATGGGGGATGGGAAGGGAGGAGAGGGGGCTGGGTTGGGGGACTGAGGGCTGGGAGGCAAAAGTGGATCTGGGATGGGGGACCCCAGCGAGGGGTCTGGGGGGGTCTGGATATGGGGGGCAGGGCTGGAGGGGTGGGGGATGGGAAAGAAGGAGAGGGGACTGGGTTGGGGGGCTGGGGGCTGGAAGGCAAGGGGGGATCTGGGATGGGGGACCCCAGCGAGGGGTCTGGGGGGGGGTCTGGATATGGCGGGCAGGGGTGGGGGGATGGGATAGGGACTGGGATGGGGAGGATGGGGGCTGGCTGGAGGAGTGGGGGATGGGATGGGGAGGATGGGGGTGGGCTGGAGATGGGAGGATGGGAAGGGAGGAGAGGGGGCTGGGTTGGGGGGAAGGGGGCTGGGAGGCGAGGGGGGATCTGGTGTGGGGGACCCCAGCGAGGGGGCTGGAGGCTGGGGGCAGGGCTGGAGGGGTGGGGGATGGGAGGAGAGGGGGGCTGGGCTGGAGGCGGTGAGAGGTGGGGGGCAGGGCTGGAAGGGTGGGGGATGGGAAGGGAGGAGAGGGGGCTGGGATGGGGGCTGGGGGGCGAGGGGGGATCTGGGATGGGGAACCCTGGAGAGGGGGACCAGAGGGAGCCCCCCAAGGTGATGGGGGCAGAGGGACCCATGAGGCGTGCCCCCCCTTTGGGGAGCCGCGCCCCCCCCATGCTCACCTGGGGTCCCCGCGTACCCCTTGGTCTTGTCCTTTCCCTCCAGCAGCTCCACTGCCAGCCCCAGGTCCGACAGCCGGACGTGCCCTGGGGAGAGGGGGACCAGCGTGAGCCGGGCTTGGACAGGCCCCCGCCCCCCTGCCCCAAGAGACCCTCCCCCACACGGACCCCCTCGGTGGGCCTGGTCCCAGCCCTTCACCTCCGCCTTTCCCCTCACTGACCCCCGCCACCCAGCGCCCCCCCCCCCGCCACTGCCCCCGGGCCTGTAGCCCCTCCCGGCAGGCTTCCCCCCTGGACCCCCGGCCGCGCCCCTCACCCGCGTCATCCAGTAGCACGTTCTCCGGCTTGAGGTCCCGGTAGATGATGCGGTTTTGGTGCAGATGCTCCAGGCCGCAGATGATCTGGGCCGTGTAGAAAACTGCCCGGGGCTCCGGGAACCCCGGGTTCTTCTCGTCCACGTTGTAGATGTGGTACCTGGGGGAGTTGGAGGGGTCCGGGGGGGGGTGACAGAGGAAATGTGGTGTGCAGGGGTGGCGGAGGGGGCGACGACACAGGGGCGCGGATCCCAGGGATTGGGGGGGGCGTGTAACCCGGGCAGGGGACCCTGCGCCCCGAGAGTCAGAGTCCGCACCCCCCAAGGGGCCCAGAGATGCGGGGCCTGGGGCCAGGGCTGTAATGGGGGGGTGGTACCCGGGCACGGGGTGGGAGATGGGGGGCATGGGGCTTCTGCAGCTGTTTTTTGTCCAAAGGACTGAAAGTCCCCCCCGAAAACAACAACAAATATTCTGAAGACGGTGGCTCATGGGAGCGGTAGTTTAGATGTCTCTTATCCCCTCCTCTTCTATGGCTGAGGCGCCACTGTTGGACTACGTCTCCCATGATGCCTCACAGCCTGGGCTGGGGAGTAGCAGTGCATCATGGGAGATGTAGTCTGGCTGGGGGCCCTGGCGCATAGAGGAGAACAGGGACATAATGTGATTGACCCACAACTCCCTTGATGTACCACGAGGGGAAGCAGTGCACCATGGGAACTACCTGGCCATGGTGCATCATGGGAGATGTAGTCCTGCTAGGGCTCATTGAGAAGAAGGGGGACATGATGGGTGTGTGTGAGGATAGACCGATGGATGGAGAGGTGTGGGGGGGAAACCCAGGAGGGAATTTTCTATGTTACAGCCCCCACACAGGCTGGGGCACAGAGGGGCCGCCCCCCACGCCCCGCCCCCTCACCTGAGGTCTCCGCCGTTCATGAGGGTCATGACCAGACACAGGTCCAGCTTGGTCTGGAAGGCGTAGGCCAGCGTGACGATGAACCGGCTGTGCACCTTGGCCAGGATCCGCTTCTCCACAATGGCCCCCTGGCGGGGAGCGGAGCGGGGCGGGTCAGCTCACCCCTGCGGAGCAGGGAGTCGCCCCCGGACACCAGCAGCGCAGGGCACAGGACACACCCGGGGCGAGAGGGGCTGGTCCCTCGCAAAGCCCCGTAGAGGGGTATGGGCAGGGTACGGAGGGAGGGGGGCAAGGGTGTGTGAGGAGAGGGAGGGGTGTGTGTATGGGGAGGGATGGGGGAGTGGATGGAGGGGTGTGGGGGAATGAAGGGAGGGATGGAGGGGTGGATGGAGGGAGTGTGGGGGGATGGGGAGATGGAGGAAGTGTGGGGGAAGGGATGGAGGGATGGAGGGAGTGTGTAGAGATGGAGGGAGGGAATGTGGGGATGGAGGGATGGATGGAGGGTGTGGGGGAATGGATGGAGGGATGGAGGGGTGTGTAGAGATGGAGGGAGGGATGGAGGGAGGGAATGGGGGGGTGGAGGGAGGGGTGGAGGGTGTGGGGGAATGGATGGAGGGATGGAGGGGTGTGTAGAGATGGAGGGAGGGATGGAGGGAGGGAATGGGGGGATGGAGGGAGGGATGGAGGGGTGTGTGGGGTGGAGGGATGGAGGGGTGGATGGAGGGAGTGTGGGGGGATGGGGAGATGGAGGAAGTGTGGGGGAATGGATGGAGGGATGGAGGGAGTGTGTAGAGATGGAGGGAGGGAATGTGGGGATGGAGGGAGGGATGGAGGGGTGGATGGAGGGTGTGGGGGAATGGATGGAGGGATGGAGGGGTGTGTAGAGATGGAGGGAGGGATGGAGGGAGGGAATGGGGGGATGGAGGGAGGGATGGAGGGGTGTGTGGGGTGGAGGGATGGAGGGGTGGATGGAGGGAGTGTGGGGGGTGGATGGAGGGGTGTGTAGGGATGGAGGGAGCGATGGAGGGGGGTGGGGGGTTGGAGGGAGGGAGTATGGAGGGATGGAGGAGGGTTGGATCGAGGGGTGTGGAGGGATGGGGGGATTGAGGGAGCGTGGGGGGTGGATGGACGGATGGAGGAAGTGTGGAAGGATGGAGGGAGGGATGGAGGGGTGTGGGGGGATGAGGGGTGTGGGGGATGGATGGAGGGATGGAGGGAGTGTGTAGAAATGGAAGGGGGGATGGAGAGGTGTGGGGGATGAAGGGAGGGATGGAGGGGTCTGGGGGGGGATGGATGGATGGAGGTGGAGGGAGGGATGGAGGGGTGTGGGGGGATGGGTGGAAGGATGGAGGGAGGGAATGTGGGGATGGAGGGAGGGATGGAGGGGTGTGGGGGTGGAGGGATGGGGGGTGGTGGAGGGAGGGGGGGGGGTGGGGGGGGGGGAGGTGGGGGGGGGGGGTGGAGGGGGGGGGGGGGGGGGGTGGTGGGGGGGGGGTGGGGGGTGGGGGGGGGGGTGGATGGGGGGGGGGGGAGGATGGAGGGAGGGATGGAGGGGTGTGGGGGGATGGGGGTGGGGGGATGGATGGAGGGATGGAGGGAGGGAGAATGGGGGGGGAGGGAGGGGGGGGATGGAGGGAGGGATGGAGGGGGTGGGGTGGAGGGATGGAGGGGTGGATGGAGGGAGTGTGGGGGGTGGATGGAGGGGTGTGTAGGGACGGAGGGAGCGATGGAGGAGTGTGGGGGATGGAGGGAAGGATGGAGGGAGGGATGGAGGGGTGTGGGGTGGATGGAGGGGTGTGTAGGGATGGAGGGGTGTGGGGGGTGGATGGAAGGGATTGGGGGGATGGATGGAGGGAGGGGTGGATGGAGGGAGTGTGTGGGGAGGGAGGGAGGGGTGTGTGGGGTGGAGGGGTGGATGGATGGAGGGAGGCCTGGAGGGAGGGGTATGTAGGGATGGAAGGAGGGATGCAGGGGTCCGGGGGGATGGAGGGATGGAGGGCTGTGGGGGGCATGGCTGGGAACGGCTGGAGGGGGATGGACGGGGGAGGCCTGATTCCCCCCCATGCCGGCGCTGATGGTGACCCTGCCTGACCCCCGGCCATGAGCCCTGTCTCCCCCGAGCCTCCTTCCAGGGAATTGCTGTGACGAAGCGGGACTGTTCTTAATGTTTCCTCTGAACAGTGTGGGGGTGCCTCAGTTTCCCCTAGGCAGTTCTTAAGTATCTAGGGGGTGGAGTAAGGGTGTATGATCATTGCAGAGCCCTAGAGGGCAGGGGTGTGCAGGGGTCTGGACACAGACAATGGCCGACACCCTGTTTCCTGGCACCTGATGGCCTGGGCCCATCCCCCCTGCAAGGTGAGAGCTGAAGGGTTGGAGAACAAAGGAATCAGGTGACCACCTGGCCCGAGAAAGGAACAAAGCCCAGAGGAGGAGGGGCTGGGGGGAGTTTCAGTTTGGGGCTGGCTGGGACATGGAGTGAAGGGCAGACGGGGTTGTCTGGCTCACTGCCCCCCAAAATGGACCCAGCTGAGGGGTCCTGTTCTCTGCACCTACAAGCTCTGTGTTAGACCATGTTCCTGTCGTCTAATAAACCTTCTGTTTTACTGGCTGGCTGAGAGTCCCGTCTGACTGCGAAGCTGGGGGGCAGGACCCTCTGCCCCCCCCCGGACCCCCGCCTGGGCGGACTCGCTGGGGGAAGCGCACGGAGGGGCAGGGGGGCTGGAGGCTCCGGGGTCAGACCCAGGAAGGTGGAGCCGGGGGAGCTGGGTGTCCTGCAGACAGGCTGCCCCCCCGAGAGGAGACTCCCCCCGAGTCCTGCCCGGCTTCGTGGGGAGCAGTCCCAGAGCCTCGCCCGGGGACGCCGGGACAGTCGCGCCCTGACCAGCGGCGCTAATTTGCGTGGACCGAAATAACTCGGGGCGGGGGGGCAGGGGGGAGGTTATCCCGGGGAACGGGGGCGAAGGTTAGGCTCTGTGTGTGGGGGGGGTGGGGGGGGGTGAGTCTAATTCCAGGGCTTCCACTGGCCGGCTAAGCGGGGATCTCTCACTCACTCACACACACACTCATCAAACCACTGAAATCCTCAGGCTCTGAAAGCGGCATGGGGCCGGGTGATCCACAAACACACAGGGAGAGACAGTCCTGGCTCCCAGCCCCCCTGCTCTAACCCACCAGCCCCCACTCTTCTCCCGGAGCCGGGGAGAGAACCCAGGAGTCCTGGCTCCCAGCCCCCCTGCTCTAACCCACCAGCCCCCACTCTTCTCCCGGAGCCGGGGAGAGAACCCAGGAGTCCTGGCTCCCAGCCCCCCTGGTCTAACCCACCAGGCCCCACTCTTCTCCCGGAGCCAGGGAGAGAACCCAGGCGTCCTGGCTCCCAGCCCCCTGCTCTAACCCACCAGCCCCCACAACCCCTCCCGGAGCCGGGGAGAGAACCCAGGAGTCCTGGCTCCCAGCCCCCCTGCTCTAACCCACCAGCCCCCACTCTTCTCCCGGAGCCGGGGAGAGAACCCAGGAGTCCTGGCTCCCAGCCCCCCTGCTCTAACCCACCAGCCCCCACAACCCCTCCCGGAGCCGGGGAGAGAACCCAGGCGTCCTGGCTCCCAGCTCCCCCTGCTCTAACCCACCAGCCCCCACTCCCGTCCCAGAGCCGGGGAGAGAACCCAGGCGTCCTGGCTCCCAGCCCCCCGCCCCGCTCTCGCCTCGTATCCGTTGCGCTTCTTGAGCCGCTTCTTGTTGAGCTTCTTGTTGGCGTACATCTTGCCGGTGGCCCTCATCTGGCAGGCGCAGACCTCACCGAAGCCGCCTTTGCCCAGCACCCGGAAGTCCAGGAACCACTCCTCGGTCACGCTCTGCCCCTCCAGCCACTTGAACTGCAGGAAGCGGGAGAAGAACAAGCTGCCCGCGTACCTGGCCAGGGCCCGCTCCTCCAGGTGCGCGAGGAGCTGCCCCTCGGCCTCCTTGAAGAGGTCCGCCCGCCCGTGCCTGGCGTCCTCCTTGACCCGCATGATGGCCTTCTCCTCCAGGAAGGGGCAGAAGCTCTTGGAGGCCGAGTCGAAGAACTGGTTGACGGTCTTCTGGGCCTTCTGGGGCCTCTCGCCCTCCTCGGCCGCGGCGTACTCCTCCATGCTCCTCCACAGCCCGCCGGCCGCCGCGAAGGCCTCCTGCTCCTCCAGGAACTGCTGAAAGAGCCGCTTGCCGATGGGCTGCCGGAGGCAGAGGCTCTGGAAGTCCAGGTCCAGCTGGGTCCTCAGGTGCTCGCACTGGGAGATGTGGGGCAGCTTGAGCTTGGCCCGCATCTTCTTGTCCCGCACGGTGGAAGGGGCGCTGGCGTCCACGCTGCCCCGGGCCGAGACGTAGGCCGAGTTGGCCACCACCGTCTCCAGGCCCCCGATGTCCATGGCGGGGGCGGGTCACCTGGGTGGGGAAGGGGAGCGCGGGGAGAAGTGGGCGAGGAAGCCGGGAGCGTGAGGCGGGGGCCAGGAGGTGGGGGGGGCAAAGCCCCACCTCTGGGCACATCTGGAGGCCTGGACTCAGCAGGTCCCTGAGAGACCTGGGCAAGCCTCCCGAGACGGGCACATCTGGACCCGGAGCCATTCCCGCTGCTGACACATCTGGGCAGCCCCGCCCCGCAGATGGCTGCAGGTCCCCCCCCGACATCTGGCGAGGAGGCCTCCGCGGGGCCCCGCACCTCTGGACACCCCTCCTCCAACCCTGCCCCACATCTGGACAGCCTGCTCCATCTCTACTCCCATATCCGGAGAGTGTCCCCCCCCCTTCTCCGCCAGGGCCAAGGGATCTCCACTCATTTGGGCCCAAGTGGGTCTGGCATGGTCAGCCAGACCTCTTCCCCCCACAAGCCCCACTCCCGTGGGGACAGCAATCCCAGCTGCGCACGGGGGCTCCCTTTGCACTAGGGACTCTATACCCTTGCACGAGGGCAGAGGTTCACGCCCCCCCCATCCCTCTTTGCACTACGGCCATGGTGTTTTCACTCTCCCCCTCAGCCCGGTGAAGGAATTAGGTGGGGAATGTGGGGGGTGGCATGGGAAAGCCGGTCAGCCGTTCATGACTGTGAGTTCACGACTGAGCACGTGGGTGTGCTTTGTGTCTTCCAGATTGTGCAGGCAAAAGTGGCTGGGGGCACGCTTGTGTTTGCACGCCTGTTTGCACACGTGTCTGTGTTTCAGGAAAGCGTACGTGTGAACCTGGCCTGGCAATGCACTTATTGCTACATCAATACATTGCTTATGCTTGTGTGGGTGAGCGCGGGGCACGCGCGTGTTTTCTGGGGCTGTGCGTGTGCTCACACGCGCCCGGGTTGGCACGACTGGTCGTTCCATCGGCTTGTCCGTGTGAGTCGTTTGCACGGGAGAGGGTGTGTGTCCTGGCTCCAGCCCCCGCTGCTCTGAGCCACCAGCCCCCACTCCCCTCCCGGAGCCGGGGAGAGAACCCAGGCGTCCTGGCTCCCAGCCCCCTTGCTCTAACCACCAGCCCCCACTCCCCTCCTGGAGCCGGGGAGAGAACCCAGGCGTCCTGGCTCCCTGCCTCCCGGCTCTAACCCACCAGCCCCCACACCCCTCCCAGAGCCGTGGAGAGAACCCAGGCGTCCTAGCTCCCAGCCCCCCGGCTCTAACCCACCAGCCCCCACTCCCCTCCTGGAGCCGGGGAGAGAACCCAGGCGTCCTGGCTCCCAGCCCCCCCTGCTCTAACCCACCAGCCCCCACACCCCTCCTGGAGCCGGGGAGAGAACCCAGGCATCCTGGCTCCCAGCCCCCTTGCTCTGACCACCAGCCCCCACTCCCCTCCTGGAGCCGGGGAGAGAACCCAGGCGTCCTGGCTCCCAGCCTCCCGGCTCTAACCCACCAGCCCCCACTCCCGTCCCAGAGCCGTGGAGAGAACCCAGGCATCCTAGCTCCCAGCCCCCCTGCTCTAACCCACCAGCCCCCACACCCCTCCTGGAGCCGTGGAGAGAACCCAGGCGTCCTAGCTCCCAGCCCCCCTGCTCTAACCCACCAGCCCCCACTCCCGTCCCGGAGCCGTGGAGAGAACCCAGGCGTCCTGGCTCCCAGCCCCCCAGCTGTAACCCACCAGCCCCCTGGGTCTTTCCCCATGGGTCCACAGGTCTGTGGGCCCGCGCACGTGGGCCTGCCTGTGTCTGCACACTCGCGTGTCTCTGTGCACGCCTGCCGTGCGTGAGCGTGGGTCCGGCTTTGCCGGCTGCAGGGGTGGGCTTGGCTTGAGTGTGTGTACCCCTGTGCGGACACACTCGGGGGCAGCTCCCAGAATTCCCTGCGGCCTGGCCAGCCCCCCCCGCCCCCCGGCTCTGGGTGTCACCCAGGGACCTGGCCGATCTCATGGGGGGGGGAATCCAAAGCTCTCTTAATCTGTGCGGCGTGTAAGCCGATTTCACGGCCACAAGTGCGACTTGCACTAGCAGCGGCCCCCCCCTCCCCACGGCCCGGAGGGGTCCCATCAGCGGGGGCCCGGAGCAGCCCTGTGTCCCCCCCCTGCCCCTGCGCCCCACAATTCAGAGATAACGTTATGGGGTATCGCTCAAAACCCTGCGCAGCTGCTCCCAGAGTCCTTTGCCCCACAGCCTCCTCATCCCCCCCCCGAAGCAACCTGCCCCACGCCCACCCCCTCACAGCCACCTCCCCTCCTGCGCCTGCCCCACAGCCTCCCCCTCCCCCGACAGAGACCTGCCCCACGCCCCACCCCCCTCACAGCCACCTCCCCTCCTGCGCCTGCCCCACAGCCTCCCCCTCCCCGACAGAGACCTGCCCCACCCCCATCCCCTCACAGCCACCTCCCCTCCTGCGCCTGCCCCACAGCCTCCCCCTCCCCGACAGAGACCTGCCCCACCCCCCCATCCCCTCACAGCCCCCCCTCCCTCCTGCGCCTGCCCCACAGCCTCCCCCTCCCCCGACAGAGACCTGCCCCACCCCCATCCCCTCACAGCCACCTCCCCTCCTGCGCCTGCCCCACAGCCTCCCCCTTCCCCCGACAGAGACCTGCCCCACCCCCATCCCCTCACAGCCACCTCCCCTCCTGCGCCTGCCCCACAGCCTCCCCCCCCCCCCCCAGAAAACCCCCCCCCCCCCCCCCCCCACACCCCCCTCCCCCCCCCCTCCCCCGACAGAGACCTGCCCCACCCCCACCCCCTCACAGCCACCTCCCCTCCTGCGCCTGCCCCACAGCCTCCCCCTCCCCCCGACAGAGACCTGCCCCACCCCATCCCCTCACAGCCACCTCCCCTCCTGCGCCTGCCCCACAGCCTCCCCCTCCCCCGACAGAGACCTGCCCCACCCCCATCCCCTCACAGCCACCTCCCTCCTGCGCCTGCCCCACAGCCTCCCCCTCCCCGACAGAGACCTGCCCCACCCCCATCCCCTCACAGCCACCTCCCCTCCTGCGCCTGCCCCACAGCCCCCTCATCCACTCCCCATAGAAACCTGCCCCAACCCATCCCCTCACAGCCACCTCCCCTCCTGCGCCTGCCCCACAGCCTCCCCCTCCCCAACAGAGACCTGCCCCTCCCCCTCACAGCCACCTCCCCTCCTGCGCCTGCCCCACAGCCTCCCCCTCCCCGACAGAGACCTGCCCCTCCCCCTCACAGCCACCTCCCCTCCTGCGCCTGCCCCACAGCCCCCTCATCCACCCCCCATAGAAACCTGCCCCACCCCATCCCCTCACAGCCACCTCCCCTCCCCCCGACAGAGACCTGCCCCACCCCCACGCCCTCACAGCCACCTCCCCTCCTGCGCCTGCCCCACAGCCTCCCCCTCCCCCCACAGAGACCTGCCCCACCCTGTTGACTCCTCCCCTCCCTTCCCCCACCTCTCACCCCACATCCATCCCTCCCGCTTCTACCCCACAACACAACCACCCCCACACCTGCTCCCCCCACACCAACCCCTCCCCCAAATATCCCCAACCCCTCCTCCTCCCCCCACAGACATCGACCCCTCCCCCACTCCCTCTCAGCCACATCTCCCTTCCCCCACCCAACACCCCCAACACCCTCGTTGCCCCATAGCCACTTCCCCTCCCCCACTGCCCCTCTACCAGACACCCCCAGACCCTCATCCCGTCTTTACTTCCCCCCCCCACACACTCCCTATGGCCCCCTTCCATCCCCTGGTTCCCCCCCACATTGTCCAATTCACCCCTTCATCCCCCCTCCCCCACCTTTCCACCCCCTCCCTTCCCCCCAGCTGACCCTCCTCCTCTGGCCCTCTCTTAAAGGAGCACCCCAATGTGTCGTGGCAGGGGGAGACAGTGACGCACACACCCTGGCTCACCCCCCCACCCCAGGGTCCCCCCTCCCCACGGGACTTACGGAGCAGGATCAGCTGAAGAGGGAGGGGGCTCCGTCCGGGGCGGGGTTCTGGCTGCCCCCCAGGGGTTCACTCCACGCTGGCCGGCCGGGCCTGAGTGCTGGGCGTCTCGGGCATCTCTTCCCCCTCCAGGAATTAGCTCAGGGGCCAGGCAATCCGCCCCGGGCTACATTAGCCCCCCAGATTAGCTCCTGCGGGCCCGGGGGCCTGTCAAAGGCCATTAGCCAAATCCCTTCTGGCCAGCTTTGGGGAATCAAAGGGCATTGGCCAGCCCTGCAGGGGGGTGGTAAGTGAGGGAGAGAACCCAGGAGTCCTGGCTTCCGGCTCCCCCCTACTCTAATCCACCAGCCCACACTCCTCTCGCGGAGCTGAGGAGAGAACCCAGGAGTCCTGGCGGCCAGCCCTCCTGCTATAACCACCAGCCCCCACTCCCCTCCCGGAGCTGGGGAGAGAACCCAGGAGTCCTGGCTGCCAGCCCTCCTGCTATAACCACCAGCCCCCACTCCCCTCCCGGAGCTGGGGAGAGAACCCAGGAGTCCTGGCTGCCAGCCCTCCTGCTATAACCACCAGCCCCCACTCCCCTCCCGGAGCTGGGAGAGAACCCAGGAGTCCTGGCTGCCAGCCCTCCTGCTATAACCACCAGCCCCCACTCCCCTCCCGGAGCTGGGGAGAGAACCCAGGAGTCCTGGCTGCCAGCCCTCCTGCTATAACCACCAGCCCCCACTCCCCTCCCGGAGCTGGGGAGAGAACCCAGGAGTCCTGGCTGCCACCCTGCTCTAACCACCAGCCCCCACTCCCCTCCCGGAGCTGGGGAGAGAACCCAGGAGTCCTGGCTGCCAGCCCTCCTGCTATAACCACCAGCCCCCACTCCCCTCCCGGAGCTGGGGAGAGAACCCAGGAGTCCTGGCTGCCAGCCCTCCTGCTATAACCACCAGCCCCCACTCCCCTCCCGGAGCTGGGGAGAGAACCCAGGAGTCCTGGCTGCCAGCCCTCCTGCTATAACCACCAGCCCCCACTCCCCTCCCGGAGCTGGGGAGAGAACCCAGGAGTCCTGGCTGCCAGCCCTCCTGCTATAACCACCAGCCCCCACTCCCCTCCCGGAGCTGGGGAGAGAACCCAGGAGTCCTGGCTGCCAGCCCTCCTGCTATAACCACCAGCCCCCACTCCCCATCCAGAGCCGGGGAGAGAACCCAGGAGTCCTGGCTCCCAGCCCCCGTTCTAACCATTTGACCCTGCTCCCTTTGCCCATGAGTGTCCTGGAAGGGGGCAGAGCCGGCCGTGGGCATGACAGGAGAGGGAAGATTTGGGGGTTCCCCCTTTCCTCGGACTGGTCGGGGCGAGGTGTCACCCCCTCCCCCAACCCCTCACACCTGTCAGTTCCCGGTCCCCGCCCCGCAGCCGGGACTGGGCGCAGTTCCGCCCTCCGCCGCTAGGGGGCGCCTGATCCCTACCCGCCGCACAATGCACCTGCCAAGCCAAGGCGGCCCCCGCTGATGGGGAGGGGGGCCCGGGCTTCGGGGGCGGGGGGGCGCAGCTGGCCCCGGGGCTGCCGGGACTGGGCCGGTTCCAACAGCTAAGAAAAGCAGCTGGTTACCTGGGAGCCCGGAGGGCAGGTCACAGCCTCCCCCGGCCCCCCGGCTGTCCCCACGGAACCCAGGAGTCCTGGCTCCCACACCAGCCCCCACTCCCCTCCCAGAGCTGGGGAGAGAACCCAGGAGTCCTGGCTGCCAGCTCCCCCTGCTCTAACCCACCAGCCCCCACTCCCCTCCCAGAGCCGGGGAGAGAACCCAGGAGTCCTGGCTCCCAGTCCCCCTGCTCTGACTCACCAGCCCCCACTCCCCTCCCAGAGCTTTGTGGAAAAACCATCCCCTAGACTCTCAGGGCCTGAACCTGTATCTGTAGGCAACACAACGATCCCAGTGGAGTGACTCCAGATTGACACCTGGGTGAGTGTGGGGGAACCGGGCCCAGTGAAGTGACTCCCGCTTAGCACAATGGGGTTAGAAAGGGGGTACCGGCCTCATTGGAGTGACTCCGGAGTGACTCCCACTTGGCACTGGGGTTAGTGAGGGGGAACCGGCCCCAGTGGCGTGACTCCGGAGCGACTCCCGCTTGGCACCGGGGTCAATGAGGGGGAACTGGCCCCAGTGGAGTGACTCTGGAGTGATTCCTGATTGGCATAGGGGTTAGCGAGGGGGAACCAGCCCTAGTGGAGGGACTCCCAATCGGCACAATGGGGTTAGCGAGGGGGAACTGGCCCCAGTGGACTGACTCTGGAGTGACTCCTGCTTGGCACTGCGGTTAGCGAGGGGGAACTGGCCCCAGTGGAGTGACTCCCGCTTGGCACTGGTGCTTGCAAAGGGGAGCCGGCCCCAGTGGAGTGACTCCGGAGTGACTCCTGATTGGCATAGGGGTTATCGAGGGGGAGCCAGCTCCAGTGCAGGGACTCTGGAGTGACTCCTGATTGACATAGGGGTTAGCGAGGGGGAACTGTTCCCAGTGGAGTGACTCTGGAGTGACTCCCGCTTGGCACTGGGGTTAGCGAGGGGGAACTGGCCCCAGTGGAGTGACTCCGGATTGGCACTGGGGCTAGCGAGGGGGAACTGGCCCCAGTGGACTGACTCTGGAGTGACTCCTGATTAGCATAGGGGTTAGCGGGGGGGAACCGGCCCAGTGGAGTGACTGTGGATTGGCCTTGGGGTTAGCGAGGGGGAACTGGCCTCCTGGTTTACACCAGGGAGTATCAGCTCCGGTCCCAGGCTGGGGCACGTTCTGTTTGTCTTTCCCAGCCCTGTGGGACTGCCCTTCAGCCCCAGGCCTCGGGGCCAGACCTCCCGCAATCCGGATCTGGTGCGAGGAATCCAGAGCGGGCTGGGCCCGGGGGAGGCGGCTCCAGCCCCAGCCTGCCGGTGACCTGGGCGCAGGGTGGCAGGTGAGGTGCTGGGATCCAGCTGGTTTTATCCCTCTCGTCCGGCCTCTGCTCCCGGCGCCGTGGGTCCAACCAAGCCGGCCCCATCCGGTGCGAGGCCCTCCCCCTGTAGACCCCACTCTCCTCCCAGAGCCGGGGAGAGAACCCAGGAGTCCTGGCTCCCAGGGCACCCCCCCCCTCACGTGCTCTAACACCTGACCCTACTCCGCTGCCAGAGCTGGGAGAGAACCCAGGAGTCCTGGCTCCCAGCCCCCCCTGCTCTGACCCCCCAGACCCCACTCCCCTCCCAGAGCTGGGGAGAGAACCCAGGAGTCCTGGCTCCCAGCCTCCCTTCTCTAACCACCAGCCCCCACTCCCCTCCCAGAGCCGGGGAGAAAACCCAGGAGTCCTGGCTCCCAGCCCCCCCTGCTCTGGCCCACCAGACCCCACTCCCCTCCTCCCTGCCCCATGGCAGAGACAGACTGGACTTTACCCCACTTAATCCAGAGACCGCTGGGCCCGTCCCTTGGACACACACCCAGGGTTGCGTCATTGGGCCGTTTATTGTGGCTTTGTTGTTCAGGGTTTTCTTGGTGTGTGTTTGTGTGTGGGGGGGTCCCCTGGGTCTATGGGAACCACCTGCCGGGCCCTGTGTGGGGTGCTGGCCTGTACGACCACAGCCCCCCACCATCGGGGTGTCCCCACTGCCTAACAGTGACCCCCAAATTCCTCCAGTATGCTGAATTTCTTCTGCCATATCCACACAAAAAGCCAGAAAGCCCCCCCCAAATTCATTCCGCTCCTCCCCCAAAGTCACCCAGACCCCCCCCCGAACCCTCACCCAACCTATTCCTCTGAGCCTGCCCCCAAACTCACCCACAACCCTCCACCCACAGCCAACCCTCTCAGTCTCCCAAGCCTTCCCCCGCAAACTCACCCAGCCCCCCAAACCCCTCCCCCAATCTATGCCTCTGAACCTGCCCCCAAACTCACCCAGTGACCCCCCCGAAACCTCCCCCAAACTCAACCCCAACTTTCCCCCACAGCCAACCCCCCTTAGTCTCCTGAGCCTTCCCCCCAAACTTGTCCCAACCCCCCCAGAACCATCCCCCCAATTCACCCCCAGTCCCCCAAACCTTTCCCCCCCAGGAATCCCTGAAAACCTGTTCCCAAAACTTGCTCCTTTCCCTCCCGACTCTCCCCCCCCAACGTACCCCCCCAACCCATGGTCCATCCCCCCCAATCTTGCTCCCAGACTGACCCTTCACCGCCTTAACATTTAGCCCCACCAAGATGTTAAGTGAATTCCCCCCAGCCCCCCCAACATCCCTCCCAACTCAGGCCAGCGCCTCTCCCCCAAAACTGCAGCGGAACCCCCCCAAAACTGCCCCCCAAACTCCCACCAACCCTTCTGGCCTTTCCACCCAAACTCTGAGTCAACCCCAACCCCGCACTCCAAATCTTCAGCTGAAACCCCTCAAAATGTGACGCCCCCCCCAACAACACCACCCACCTTCCCGACCCTTCAGCCCCCAATCTGAATCTCGCCCCCTTTAACCTCCCGAAACCCAGAGCGAACCCCCAGGCCCTGGACCCCAAAACTTCAGCGGCACCCCCCAGCCCCCGGTCCCTTGTCAGCTGCGTGCCCGGCCCATGTACCGGGAATCTAGGCCAAACTTGTTTGTCCCGGAGGAATGCGACTGATCCAGGCAGGCCCGTCTTCCTCCATAAACCAGCTATTTCCAGCCGGCTGAATCACACCGGCGGGGAGGGGGGTGCGGTGTCGCTTGTGTGGGTCGGGGTTGTGGGGCCGGAGCCGGCCCTTCCCGGGGAGCTGGCCGCGGGGCAGGTACACGTGGAAAAGATGAGTCGCCTTCAGGCAGCCTCTCATTAGCCCAGTTTCGCAGGTGGGGAAACCGAGGCACGGGGAAACGGTGAGAGGTGGCCAAGGTTATGCAGCTGAGTCAGGGCGGAGCTGGGATTAGAAACAGGAGTCCAGGCTCCCAGGCCTGCCTGCTCTACCCACTAGACCCCACTCCCCTCTCAGAGCTAGGGAGAGAACCCAGGAATTCTGGCTTCCAGCCCCCCCTGCTCTGACCCACCAGACCCCACTCGCCTCCCAGAGCCAGGGGGAGAACCCAGGAGTCCTGGCTCCCAGCCCCCCCTGCTCTGACCCACCAGACCCCATCCCACTCCCCTCCCAGAGCCGGGGGGAGAACCCAGGAATTCTGGCTCCCAGCCCCCCCTGCTCTGACCCACCAGACCCCACTCGCCTCCCAGAGCCAGGGGGAGAACCCAGGAGTCCTGGCTCCCAGCCCCCCCCTGCTCTGACCCACCAGACCCCATCCCACTCCCCTCCCGGAGCCAGGGAGAGAACCCAGGAGTCCTGGTGCCCAACCCCCACCGTTACATCACATAGCTCAGCGTAGGATGGGCTGACCCAGTTCCCCCCTGTCCCCAGGAGTGAACCCAAAGCCACTTACAGGGCAGGTGAGTTTCCTCCCCACACAACCGGGTCAAATGCCGAGTGGCTGATTCCCCATGACTCAGACCAGCCGGCGCTCGTCCCGCCCCCCCTTGCTGGGTGCTGCAGCGGCTCATGAGGGACCACCATGGGG